AATAAAAGTTATAGGCCTCTCTTTTATTTCATCAATTTTAATTTTAATTTTTAATTTTATTATAGTTAAAATTTTTTTTTAAAAAATTATATCTTAATAACAGTAAAAAAAACTCTCATATAAAATTATATTTCAACTCAAATTAAAAGTTCAAATAAGAACTGAACCTGAATAAATTGACCAATTAGGTGTTGGAGTGAGATAGCGTTGAATAACAAAATTTAAGGAACATTAAATTTAGGGGTAAAAGAGGAAAATAAAAAATTAATAAGTAAACATGGCCTATTACTTACCATATCTCGGTAAATTGGTGATTTACTTCTTTATGTTTTAAAGTTGGTCTATTTACTACAATTTCTCAAAAAAATAATCAGTATTCAAGATATACCATTACAATTACCCAAAAACCTTAGGAAAAATACTCATACGAGACATGATAATATTCTTAATGTGTGTTTTATGTTGATTAGAATTCTCTTAAATTTGCATACTATTTATTATCACATTTATTTCTCGTGGTTTGACGTTCAAAAATACTATTTATAATATGTATTTTCATATGTAAAAGTCCATTTTAACTTAAGAAATCAAGTCGATTTACATAAAAAATGTGAGGATAACCTCTGTTCTAACATTTAATTTTTAAGAACCAAAAAACAAGGAGAGTGGAAAATGAAAAATGAATGAAGCATTGACATAATACTTTCCAAGGCAAAATTAAGAAAGAGTGGAAAAAAAAAAACATAAATATAATAATAAAAAATAAGAGAATTATCAAGCCAGCTCTCAAGTGAGAATAATATATAGCTTGTGCATAAGAATAACAAAACTTAATTCAATAGACCAAAAAAATTGATCAAAAGTGTGTGGCTACAAAATTCACTAGCTCATTCGAAATGTAGTGTTCTTGGTATTGTGCTATCCACTACTTGGTTTACTTTGTTTATTTTATTTTATTATTATTTTTTTTTTCATTATTCCTTACACCTCTTTAGAAGACAAATCTGTATAGGATCCGAGAAAATCGGCAAATCAAAGTGTTATTTTCACATAAAAGTGATGTTGTCTGACATGAAGGAGGGAAATAAAGGAGACATTATTGCATATATATGATGAAGCTAAAGTAGGCTGTGATCGGCACAAGAATATCAATTTGTAAGGATTTGGTTTGAATTTTGTTTCTGTCCTTGGATTTTGAATGAGAAAGTTGAGTGTCGAATTTTGGCTACCATGTGAGTGAATTTGACGTTTAGCTTTCATATATATATATATATATATACATATATATATTTTTTAAATATTGAAGTTGAAAGATAATTCATGAAAGTCCCATTGTGTTTAGGCATGTCCCAAGACACAACTGACAAGTTTTATGTAATGGTAGAAAATGCACGTAAAAGCACCGCTATGTTTGACGTTTCCTTTTTTTCAACAATAAAATATACCAATATATATATATATATATATTGAAAATGTCTTGAGTACAGCGCCGGATCAGTCCGGTTAATGTAATTCTCACGTAATATTATTCATTCGTGCACGTACATTTTATTTAAGTGTAACATTTAAAAATGTCTCTAACACATATAATATTAAGTATTATACTTAAACAAATCGAATATTACACACACGTATGAACAATGACTTTGCATATTTTGATTACAATGTCTATGGTTCTAAAACAATTTTAGTCTCATAATTTTGTGATTCAAAGATATGGAAGTGGCCAAAACAAAAAGGCCCCATGTGTCCTTTAAGAGCATCTAGGAGTCACAATATTTTGTTCCCTCTAATAACGGAAATGATGACTAAAAAAAAAAAAAAAAAAACTGTGGGGTTTGCACTTGAAAGCAACATCAGAACCACTCAATTTAATACCATTTTGCTGTACTAAATTAATAAGTTCTCTCATTCATAGGGGCAAACTATATGTGCCTCACTTTTAGTAAAGGGCTGTTTCTTGGTCAAGAACTGCACATGCTGGTTTGCTTGACTAATATATCTAGGGAGAAAGAGAAAAATATGCTAAGACTTGAGTTAAAATTAATAGGTCAATAGTTTACATAAGTTAATAAATAGGTCAAATTACTGTTTTTGTCCATAACTTGTCTGGTTATGAACCATAACTTGACAAGTTATTGTCCATAAAGCACGATTTTTGTCCATAACTTGTCTGGCTATGAACCATAACTTGGCAAGTTTGTCCATAACTTATATGGTTATAAACCATAACTTGACAAATTATGGCCTATTAATTCCTATAACTAAAAGTTGGCCTCTATACTTCCTTAAACTTTTTATATTGGCATATTTTCTACTATTTCTGATATATCTATGCATTTATTGAAGAGGACCGTTTCATTTGTAATCTTAAAAAAAAAATTTTTTTTAAGGAAAAGAGGGTTGAAGGATCTAGAATTGGAGCAAAAATTAAGCAACTTTTATAGGAGTTTTACAATTGTTGGACCGGGTATTATGTTGGCGTTGAAGCTTCCCGATATAGGAAATCTCCATGTAAAGAATACAGATTAAGAATCCAAATGTCTTCTTTCGAAGTAATAAATAATAATCCAAAGATCTCCAACCGCTTTAGCATATTTGACCAAGTAATATAGAAATTAAACCTTTTTTTTTTTTTTTTTTTTTTTTTTTTTTTTTTTTTTACTTTGATGCTTGATAATCGTATGAGAAGCAACAAATACAAACAAACTTTATACCCAAAAAAAAAAAAACAAACAAATATAAACAAACTCAAATTTCTTTATTTGTTGTTATTAATAATTAGAAGCAAAAGAAGTTAATCCCCTGCATTTTACTTGCTCAGAGTTGTGATTCATCACGATAGATAGACCTATTTGAGAGCTACAGAAACCTTTATCAAGTCCAAAAATTTTGCATTTGTAATTATTTTAGAACATATATAATGACATACAATGGATGTAGAATCTTTCCAAGTATATTAGTATTGGAAGTGATCTTATTCAACTTTTAAAAAAAAAAAAACATATATATATATTTTTAATTTTTAACTTTATATTGAATAATGAATATATATCGTTTGAAGGATAGACATATGGCCAAAATTATAACTTGTATGACCCAATATATACTCAATAAGGATTGGTTTAAGTTGTGGTTAATGAAGTTTGCCTTGGCTAAGAGGATGATAAGTTTGCCTTGGCTAAGAGGATGATAAGTTGTCGTTGAGGTCAAAATCAACACCACGATCACAACTGAACGTGTGGACAAAATTTAGAGAAGAAAGTCGATTGAAATCGACTGGAGGCATGATCGACTCAAAACGACTGAAAAAGTATAATAATAGGAGATCCGTGGGACTACCATATATAAAATGGAAAAAAAGATTCCTTGGAGGTAATGAGGTTCAATCCAACCGAATCTGACATCAAAAGCACGAATCCAATCAATAAAGAAAAAGAAAGTAACTACAAACTAAAGAGCAAATAAGAAAAGGAAAAGTCAGCTCAAAAGAAAAAGTAAATCAATCTACTCCTATAAAAAGGGGATGAAGATCATGTCTTGGGGGGGAATTATTCATATTCGGATGCTAGATTTCTTCTTTCTCCTTTTCTCAATCTCATTGTAATTGTAGTTTTTCACAATATAGTGAAACCCTAAGACCCTATAGTGAACTCAGTTTTCACATTAAAAGTGAACCGCTATAAATTCGTATATTTATTTACTTTTTCGCACTTTATATTTCTGTCTTCATGCTTAAACAACTCAAATCGGCTAGAGTCGACTACGACCAATTCGCGGACACAATTGACACTCGAGAGTGGCCATTGGCAACAAACGTAGTTGTAGGTTTCATCCTCTACATATCCCAACCTTTGCTTTTTGTAGCGAGTTTTGACTATTTTGGCATTTGAACTACAAGTTTTTAAGAGTTGTAGACATAATTTATATCCTCATTTTGCTCGATTAATTTTTATCTCACTTGTATGCTTGCTGTTTTCGTACTTGTGAGGATCAATGCGACTTTCTGCTAAAAACGACAAAGAACATTAAAAGACAAACACCTCAAAATGACACATAATTTTTAAAACCTTTGGTAACAAATAACAACTTAAGAAGGACAATTACCACAAAAACGACAATAATCGGGAAACGACATCAAATTAAAAGCTTTAATAGTTAAAACTTAAAAAACCAAAATCAACACATACAATGCAGGGACTACAAAATGACATTGCGTTTTCTTTTCTTGTTTTTGGTTCCGTATTTTTCATGTAGTGGGAACCTCCAGTTTCACAGTAATTGCTGTTTCCAATCTTTTAAAGTGTATCTTGCATTTTTTATTGGGACAGAATATTCTACTTGCAGGATCTATATTTTATGCATGTTGCTTAAGTTTCTGTCTCTTCACACACACTCTCTCTCTCTCTCTCTCTCTCATGGTCACAGTATCTAGAATCAAATTAATCACAATAGTACTTAGGAGTCACTCCTTTTAGGAGATTGGATTCAATTTCTTATGAGCTATTTCTTTCTTTATTTATTTTTATCGTGGGAATACTATGAGCTAATTAATGTATGATTTACTATACTTATTTTAGTCAAATGTCCTTATAGATCATATATAGCTTCTTCTCAATATCACTCATACGAAAAGAAAACAAAATATGTCATTTGTCTGAGTATCCTCTTGGTAACATAAAAGGCTACTCACATTATACACATATCTTAAATATAATTCCTCTTTTCTGTTTTGCCTTTCTAGTTTCTTGAAAAACTTGCTTATTTCTGTATTTCATTGTTCTAACTGACCAATTAGTAGTACTCTTGGGAGTTAGCTCAGACTAGAGAAATAACATTAAAGTCACAAATAACATCATAAAGTATTAAGTTAAGCAGGCACATTTAAAACTACAATTATGACATTGCACAGAAATATATACAACATACATGTAATGCAGACCTGCACTTCGTCACAAAGTAGGTCACTTTGAAGTGCATTTTATTGCAACCACACCGGACAAAGCATACACACTAAAGAACGGCCCACTTATTTATTATTTTCATAGTTTTTTTAAGAAAAATACTATCAGTGTCGAGCACTATAATAGAAGATGAGTCTATATTATAACTCACGGTCTATTTGTGTGCGTGCTCAGCACCACCGATACCCCTTAACATTGATGTTCTTTTTTCAAGGTGGGCAATCACACAAATATAAAATTCACACAAACAAAGACGAAATTCAAACAAAGCACACAAAACAGGAGCAGTAGTTAAGCACATATTACAAATATTTAGACTTTGGGATCCGCCTGGGGCTGGTTAACTAGGGCCTGAGTGCGAGCCTTGACAAGAAAGAACCCTAGGGTATGGCCAGCCACGGCAGCTAGGAATATTCCCACATTGAAGGACATCACAGAGAGCATGATCAAGTAGGTGAAACCGATGTGAAAAGCATAGACGCCGGCCTGAACTGCGCCGGCCTTGGTGGGACTCGTGCCGCCTCTGACGGTGGGAGAGATAGACAAAACCTCAGAAGCAACAGCCAGAAGAAACACAAAGAAGAAAGCCAATATGTACATGCCAATATCCTCGTTAGGCCAATTAGGGAACACGATTATCGCATCTTTGCCCCAGTAAAGGCTCGAATGCATGATCATCTTGCGTGTTGTGTTGCTCAGGTCGCCGCTGCCCATACCGGACATATTGTCGCCGCTCATGCTGGACATATTGTCGCTGTTCTGATCAGACATTTTTTTTTTGTTTTTCCTTTCTCAATACAGAGAAATGATCAGATTTTGGGGGTTTGACATAGTGATTATAATTAGCTTTTTTCTTGGTGTTTTGTAATTTGTGTATAATGGAGAGAGGAGCTGGAAAGCAACATTTGGGGTGGAGGGGGTGACTGAGGTATGAGATTACAAAATGATATGTGATTGATTGGCTATGTTTCTATTAATTATTTATGTTACATGGTTTTTGTCTGTTTCTTCATTTATTTTTCTATGATTCTGTCTTTATTATTATTACGTTGGAAATCCAAATTAAGAGAAGGGAAAGTAACCTAATATATAGAAGTCATTGTCTAGGTTCTGGTTCACCAAGGGAAAAAAATGCATAATTTATATTTTGTGATCAAAACTGATAGACAATTCATATTTGTCATAAACTAGTTTTTTGTTTTTCGCTAAACTAAATAATTACAAATAAGTCAACTTCTGCTAGTTGTATGATCTAGCTAGCTCGAAACTAGATAATTGTTGTGATTACTTCGTAAACAAATTACGTGTATTCATAATTACATAAAGCGTGCGACGTTGATGTTAAGTGGTGCTGACACTAATTTTGTTTTCTACCATTTTCACTCATTGCTTCTCTTTTCAGATGTTGCCTTTATGATGGAGAGCTCATGATCAAACCAATTATTTAATTACGAGCGCTTATAATAGTAGTAATAAACATAAAAACAATGCTATAAGGTATAGTGTTAAACACTACTCACTAACAGAAAATAAGTTCCGTGGCATGAAATTTACATGTATGACTCACTTTTTATTAAAAGTGATATTTTTAATAGCAATGATATACTCAACTACTTTTTAGAAAAAGAAAAAAAAAAAAGAAAAGCTTTAAAGTACTCAAATAATCGAAGTCCACAACTTTTAATAAAAGGGTGGATTCCCCCAGTGAGTGGAATCTACTTTATGAGTGAGGAAATCGTGTTAACTAGGAACACTAGCGCTCTAAATTTAATGATAAAATATAATGGAAGAGTTGGTAAAAATAACTTGTTAATTGGTTCTAACTTCATTTTGGAACAAGCTTCTTCCAAGGTTTCTTAATCAGAATAATGAACCCTTGTCACATATGCAATAGTGTGAAGAAATTAAATTAAATATGTCAAGAACAGTATTAAGTGAAAAAATCAAGAAAGCAAATATAAGAATAAAATTCTCAATGTTAATATTTATTACGTATTTATGCCACCGCAGAGGTTTAATCAATTCTAAACATAACTATTATAATAGATTGTGATCTCTAGTGATGTAAAAGGTTGTTGCTTTGAACTTGCCTATCCGCTTTTTTTTTTTTTTTTTTTTTTTGGGTCAAATTTTTTTTTTTTTTTTTTTTATTCTATGTTTTTGAGTTATTCTACAACTTTCATCATGAACTTCTTCAAAGCACCAAACTATGTATAGATGATATTATTGGCGCTGAAGAAGTAAAGCATGCATATTCTGCCACCTCATCTCTCAAAACCCACCATTTGCTTCATTTCTTTTTTCACAAAAACAAATATAGATAAATAACTCAAGTACATATTAGAAAATGAGATTTATAACGTATTTTAATAATTAATTGACATGAAGGAAGGACAATGAATTAGTGCCTCATCATCAGCACATCATGAGAAAGTGTGTGTCGTAATCAATGGGACCAATATCATCCACTATTTCCAATTCCCAAGCAAAAACGCAAAAACTTTGTTTATCATAATTGTGAAAAGCGAATCAAATACCTTTCTTTTTTTTTTGTTTTGCCCAAAGCATATCAGCTGAAACCATCACAATTCACACATGAAGGCAACATTTTTTCAATGCTTGTAAACAAATTGTAGGTTTCATTTTCTTCACATTTATAAACAAAGAAAAAAAAAAGACAGAAAGCACAAGCCATATATTGTCAAGAAAGGTAAAATCAAACATGGGATTCAAGGTCCTCTTCTTGGTTATGGTTAGACCGCCTAAGAGCGCGTGCCTTGACTATGAAGAACCCGACGACATGACCGGCGACGGCGGCGGCGAAGATTCCGCCGTTGAAGGACATGAGAGAGAGCATGACTAAGTAAGACAAGCCAATGCGAATAGCATAGACAAAGGCCCGGCTGTATGCAGCCAGAGTAGGAACTGTGCCAGTGCCTTTGTCGACGGCTGCAGGGATGGACAGTAACTCGACGACGGCGGCCATCATAAAGACAAACAGCAGAGACCAGATGTACCTGGGGAGGCTTTCTCCAGGCCAGCCTGAGAACAAGACAGTGGCCGTTTTGCTCCAGTGAAAACTCATCTCCTGCATAGTCATGTTCATGTTCTTGTCCATGTTCATATCATGATCCATGTTCATGTTTTGGTGCTCGTGAAGGGACATGATCTGTGTAGGTGAGAGATGAATTAGAAATCACTTTGAAAGATGATTATTGCATAAATGTTTCTTTGTTGTTCACGGTCTTTGTAAATCATATTGTATGATATAATAATAATAATAAATAAATAATTTGTTTATAGTTGAAAACAAGGATAATAACCTTGGAGTTGATGAAGAGATGTTCACGGCTTTAGATTCTTCACCCATGTCTTGTTCTGAGTGGCGGATTGGAAGGGTTAGTAACGAAATATTGTCATTTTTTACACACATAATGGCTGTTGTCGTTTGAGATTTGGGAAATGGAACGTTGTTTGATATGAAAGAATAATAAACTGCATGCGATATGTCGTTTTAATATTTGACACATGCTCCTGGTGGAAAGTGGATGGAATTGGGAAAACAAAATAAGAAGGCAACGAGGAAAAAAGATGGAGGAAAATTTTAATAAGTTATTTTCATAAATAGTCCTCGAACAATACAACTAATTTCATGACGCCTTTTAAATTTCATTTTTACATGGCACTAATTGAACTTAACAAAAAGGGTCTTTTTTTTTTTTTTTAAAGAAAAACAACTTTTAGTTTAGGCGAGTAGGCCGTTTTCAGCATTTCTCTTTCACTAATTACGTCACCAGTTTCTCTTGTGGTACTAATTACATCTAATTAGATTTGCAATAACTGAAGTCTTAAGTTGTTATGATAATTCCCAATCGAACATCATCACAAATAATGACACGTGTAGGCGATAAGATAAACAAAATGAGCGACCAAAATGTCTCCAAATCATTGCATACTTGTTTACTTGAAGAGAAACTTTTTTTATTATTATATTTTTTTATAGATAAGAGAGAGAGAGAGAGAGAGAGAGAGAGAGGGAGAGAGAGGGTGGGAAAGCAAAGAAACAAGAAAGATTGCCGAGTGCCAATGTCCTCTCAAAGCAATCACAATAGAAAAACAATCACTCTGACAAGAGAATTGGAAGATGGTTTATTAGTAGAGATTTCAAGAGAACATAAACCTTCAATTTTCAACTTTCTAGCAAAGAGTTGCATAAATACTAAATAGCACAAACTTGTTCATTATTTGTGTTTCAAAATAAATAAATAAATTGATAAAAAGGACAGACGCTTTTAGCTGCATTATGTTCATTTGTCGACCTTCATAGCTCACGCACGACAACATCATAGCTAAAGTAATCATAATGGAATGATTGCGGATGAACAACAGCGCAGTTTGTTCATTCCCAGAGTGAACGACGTTCGGCAGCAATTTCAGAAGAAAAGAAAACGTGCAACGCCATAGGTTGAAGATCTTCTTCATCTAACAAAAAAAGGGTCCATAACAAGATATTTGGAAAGAATAAATGGAGAATAACGAAAATGTAGAATACTCACTATGTTGTTTGGCCAGAAATCTCTATATTGGGACCCCTTCCCATCTCCGGTACCTGTGTTCAAGAAAAGGGCATTCTTTGATGATCAAAGTGCAAAGAGAAGTACAAAGCACTTCGTCCGGCAAAAACTGGAGCTTCTTGCAGTGAGACACCGACAATGTAACAAGAGACGAGACGTGTTGAAAGGCGCTTCCGTTTAGGCTTCTAAGGTTTGAAAGATTAAGGAGCTTCAACGAAGTTAAAGACATGGGAAGAAACACCTCTGGAAATGAATCCAACACCGCATCAGAATGAGCAATGCATAACGATCTCAAAGCGTTTAGTCCATGGAGATACCAATTCCTGCGTTCCACTATGAGTTTGCGGCATTTGAAAATCACAAGAGTATCTAAATCACGGGGCAATCCAGCTTCAGGTAATGACTCAACATTTGGACACTCAAGACATTTCCAAAAAAGCAAGAGATGGAAGAAGCCTGTGCATGTGTTCAGGCAGCGACCTGAAATTCTCGCAAACACTCTCAGTAAACTGAGATAGTGGAGCACAGTGCCACTTCCTTCTGAAAAGGTAAGCGACTCCAGCTTCTGACAATAACGCAGCACAAGCTCCTTAAGCATTGGGAAGTAGTCTAATGGTAACGACGTTAGAGTATCACATGCAGTAATTTCCAACGTTCTAAGGTTTGCATAGCGGCAGCTACCCGGGAACTCTAATTTGGCGCACCAATTAAGTCGTAGAGTTTCAATTGAATCACAATCAGGTAAGCTCCCAGTTAAATTCGAACAACAAAACAAGCAAAGCTGTTTGAGACGGGGGAAATATGCAACTTCTTTGTCACCTCCAATAAATAACCACTCACTCCATTTCGACATTTCATGAAACGACAAAATTTCCAAAGATTGAAATGGAATAACAGAAGAATTACTACCACAAAACTCAGCACCTACTGTCTCCAACCCATCAAAGTCTTGAACACAAAGCTCTCGAAGAGAAGGTAACTGCCCGACTGGCGGCAACAACAAGCAATACTTGCAACCAATGAGATTCAACAACACTATATTTGAAAATGAAGCATCTCCAACCCATTTAGGGAAAAACGAACCAGCATATCTGTAAATAGAGAGCTTCTTCAAGTTTGTGTGAGGTTGCAGCGCGTCAAGTACCTCTCTTCCTCTTCTACTCCCAGTACTATCACGTCTCCATGTTAAACTTAGCTCATTGAGATTCGCCTTCTCCCTTAAATTTGCTTTCAGAACGTCCTCAACACTATCAACATTTTCAAGCCATGAAATTCGAAGTTCTCCACCCAAATATCGAAGATCTCCCAACTCTTTAATGCTAGGACCGGTATGCACACTCAAAACAAAATCAGTTAACTTTTGCAACTGTTTCAAATTACACATTTGAGGTGGCATCGCTTAGAGGTGACGAAGTAGTGTCAAGATGACGCAAATTGATTAGTCTTCCCATATTGGTAGGCAGCTTAGTAAGTCTTCCACAATTAGACAACAACAATGTCTGCAAATTGTAGAGACCACAAATTGAGCTAGGCACCTCGTAAAACATGTTGCCAGATAAGTTCAAATATCTAAGATGCTTCAAATTACTGAACGAATCAGGCAGTCCACAACCAAATTTTTGTCAATTGAGAGATCATTCTTAAACACTTTCCATTTTCTGTCACTTTTTCAACTAACTGATTAGCTCAATTTTTATGTGATCCTCCTATAAAGGTGCGTAAATATTTGGCTTCAGATATACTTGTCCATGAGTTATATATGCTGTGATAAATGACGTGTCTTACTTGTAAGCTGCTTTATGTGTGTATTATCACCATACCTCAAACAAAATTTACCTGATACAAAGAGAGCTAAATCATGAACAAGATCATGCATCTTAACTGTCGACTCATCATATCTTGATCTTTGAACTAATGACCTTGATATTAGATCTTTGATGTACTCCTCTCCAACATCTTCCATTCTCTTTTCTTCCTCAACAGATTGCAAAAAACCTTCTGCCATCCACAGCAAGATTAATTCCTCTTTTTGTATTTCAAAATCTTTCAGAAATACTGAGCAATAAGCAAAACAATGCTTCAAACAAGAAGGTAGATAATGATAGCTCAACCATAACGATGGCAGAATATTGTTTCTCTGGGTTTCACGCAATTCCCACACATGGCTCCTTAGAATGCTATCCCATTTACTTGGATCTCTTTCGAAGCGTAAGAGAGCACCCATTGATCTTAAGGCTAATGGGAGCCCCCCACACTTCTTAACAATTTTCTTACCAACTTGTTGCAAACGTGGATCTGCATCCAAGTCTCCACTGAAGGCATGCTCTGAAAATATTTTCCAGCAATCGGCCTCTGGTAACTGCCGTAGTTGATAAGTTACTTCCCCGGTCTTCACTATTGATGCAACATTTTCACTCCGTGTCGTCACAATGATCCTGCTTCCCTTATCTGCAAAAGTAAAGGTGCTCCATAGGAAATGCCACTTCTCATAACTCATCCCAAACGTCGTCGAGAACCAACAAAAATTTCTTGCCTATCAATGCCTTCTCAATCGAAGTTGAAGTTCCTCAATGTAGCGTGGCGCTCTGGAATTGACCCGCTGCAAAATAGCCTTTAGTATTCTAGAAACATCAAACTCAGCCGAAACAGTAACCCATGCTTTGAGCTGAAAATCATGTCCCTTCAATCTCACATCACCGCAAACAAGTTCAGCAAGGGTAGTCTTACCAATGCCCCCCACACTGACAATGGGAAGCACGCCAATTCCATTTCCCCAAACATCACTCGAAAGCAGCAACTTCAAGATCTCCTCTTTCTCAGCATTCCTTCCATAAACATGACTCTCCTCTACTTCATGCATTAATCTTCTCAAACATACCGCCTTTCGAGCCTTAACCATCGAACTAGTTTTCAAACCAAGGACAATCCTTTTATCTAAAACATCATCCAATTCGTACGAGATCCGTGCTAGCTCACCTTGTACAGTTCTGCCAAATTCAGTCAAGCTTCAGAAGGGCTTCGTCGTTGATGTCCTCCACCAAGTCATCTGCTCTCAAGACGACATGTGTGAGCTCATCCAGCCATTCTTTCACATTCGGCTCGCTGATTTGCCTCTCTTCAGCATCATTCAGAACTAGACTTGCACTCATTAACTGCTCACTCAATTTCCTATGTTGTTCACCAATAGATTTCTTTCCTCGAAAAAATTTCGCAAACTCCACAGAACCTAACCTTTCAAATAGCTTCTCCAACACATCGCAGAGGAAATTCTCGCCCACCAGTTCCCCCATGTTACCAGAATCAGCGACTTCTCTCACTGGAAAAAAAAAAAAAAAAAAAAAAAAAAAACCACACACACACAAACAAAAGAAATTTTGAGTTAGGCTTGTCCAATGAACCTCGAAAATTTGCCCCTATAAAAAATTTCTTTGTGGTTAAAAATCTAGAATTAGGGATTTCTCTCACTGTCCAACAGAAAAATAAATAAATTTTGAGTTTGGTTTGTCCAATCAACCTCAAAATTTTGCTCCTAAAAAAATCCTTTTTCGTTAAATTCCAGAATCAGGGATTTCTCTCACTGACGAAACCAAAAAATAAATCAATAATTTTGCTTCTAAAAAAAAATGCATTCTTTTTGGTTAAAAATCCAAAAAAACAATTGAATTATTAGTTAGGTTTGTCCAATGAACCTCAAAATTTTGCTCCTAAAAAAACTTTCTTTTTCGTTAAAACTCCAGAATTAGTGATTTCTCTCACTGACCAACAGAGAAATAAATAAATAAACAGATAAGTTATGAGTTTCGTTTGTTTAATGAACCTCGAAATTTCGCTCCTTAGCGACAAGAAATTATGTCAATTTCCATTTTCTTTCAAAAAAAGATAGAGAATTATAACTATTTTTATTCACAGAGGAAAAAGAAAAAGAAAAAAAAAATTACCATGGGTAGTAAGGATTTTCCAAGCCAGAAAATAAGTAGATTTGTGTATCTTCTCTGTTCAGCTTACGACGATGGGGAGTGTTACAGAGGAAGGTGGTTTGTAACTTGATTTTATAGTTGCGGATTAAGGGTTGAGATTAAAGCAAAAGAAATGAACGGCTGATATTATCTTAATATTTTCGTTTTTTGTTTTAAGCTAATCGGTACGGATGGTCTCTAAAATCTTTAATATGTTATATTTTAGTCTCTATTCTCTTTTTTGGGTAAAACTAACGTGTTACCGTGCATTTGCGTATGCAATGGGATAATTAACAGTAATTTAAATTTAAAAAATATATAAAAACACACATATATATGTTTATAAATTGTTGTGAGTTTATAATACATATATACACATTTATTTATATCTTTATCTTTGTAAATAAAAATGTACAAACTTATTTACAGATATACAAAGGTTACATATATATATATAGATATATGTTTATAAGTTGTTGTAAATTTATAACACATATATACACATTTATTTACATATCTATCTTTGTAAGTAAAAATGTACAAACTTATTTATAGATATGCAAAGGTTTATTCATAAGAAACATAAAAGAATATTTACAATCGTCAATGGAACTAAATCTACTGAAATACTTAATGAACATAAAAATGGGTTTAATTAGCAAACCAACAAAGAGACAGCAATACAACAGTAAAAGAAGAACTCTTCAATAAAATGAGATGAAGATATGTTTATAAATGTTACATAAAAATTATCCTGTGCATCAAAGGAAAAAGTTAGAAAAAGTTAATAAAGGGAAAAAATGATTTAGATTTTATATCTTTTATTGGTAATAACATAATGAGGAAATTTTCAATTACAATTTTCCCTAAAGAGTAACTGTAATATTTACCAATGAATTCAATTGAGTCTATGAATTTAAGAAATTATGAGATTTCTTGATCTATCTTAATATTTCTCTCAATTCAAAAATTCAGGAGCATGAAGAAAAATAAGAAACGTTAAATCTTAGGAATCTGATATGAAATAAAATTTGCTTTAGCTATTTGCCTTTAATTGCTGACATCACATATTAGAAATAGCTTAAATTAGATTTAACAACACCCTTTAGTACCAACTGAATTATTCAAAAGATTTATGAAAAATAAACAGGGACAAAGAAATGAAGAAAAAAAGAACAAAACAAAAATATAGTGGAAAAAGCGAAAAATAACTTAGGTATTTATGTTTTGCTGCTAACACAACATATACTAACAAAATTAATAGAGGATTTGTATTAAAGACAGAAAAAAGGATGAGACAGCATAAATAGCACAGAGAAATATAAAAAACATAAGAGAGCATTTATAATTGTTACTAAAACGAAGGCAAAAAAAGTTACTTAAATATTTAAGAACAAAGTAAATCAATCGCAAAAGACTAACTAAAATTTTTGAGAATAAAACAAAAACAATAGGAAGGAAAAATATTCCAATAGTAAAAACATGAGTAAATAAAATTTTAGAAACTTCATAAACATAAAAATGAGTTAAATTGATGAATCAATAACAGAGGCAGGAGTAAAAGAGTATAACGGAAACTTTTTAATAAAATAAGATGAAGTAGAAATCATTTTAAAGTAAAAAATGACAGTAAAAGCAACATACTCTTGACAAAATAGGATGACTAAAACAACATAAATCTTAAATAATTCGGGTGACATCAAAGCATGCTAAATCACACTATAAACAGTTATTTAATACATGGTAACAATCAAAGGAAAATACTACATCATTACCAAATGAGAAATCACATTAGATAGAGAACAAAATATTGACAGATTAATATAAAAAATGTGATGGAAAGCTAACTTTTAGTCAAATAACAATAAGTTATGTAATATAAAAACTAAACAATATTTTACAAATAATATTAACAAACTTATTACAAATATAATTATAATTACATAAAACAGTGACCACATATATTAGTAATTCAATAAATACACTTAACAAATCATAGTAGTAATATGTAAAATTTTAAGAACACTTAGAAATAACGTGGAAGAATTAAGAAAGAAATACCTTAGAACAAAAGGAATTCTCTGAAATGACCTTTTGCTAAAGAGTGACTACAACATTTCAAGAGGAGAAAAATGTAAAAATATTGAACAAAATATTAAAAAACTAAAAATCAAAACTTAAGAGTTTCTTTTTAACATTAACAATGACAGCAAGAAAGCAACAAATATTGTAACAGTGGCAAATTAAGGAGAACGTAGCATGGAAAAAATATAAGAAGGATACAATATCAAAAATCTTATGTAAAATAGTAGATTCCACGAATAATAGTAAAAAAATAGATAAAAAAATTAAATAGACAAATATAAACAATATGGTTCAAGTATTTGTCTTTAATTGCTAACATCACGCATTAGAAATAACTAAAATAAGATTTAACAATGCCCTTTAGTGCCAACTGAATTATTAAAAAGACTTATAAAGAATAAGAAAGAAAGAAGAAATGAAAAAAAAAAACCGACACATAAATATAATAGTGAAAGAGAAAAATGGTTTAGATCAAAATCAATTGCTGAAAAATAACTTAAATATTTGAAAACAAAATAAATCAATCCCAGAAGATTAACTGAACTATTTGATAACAAAATAAAGAGAATAGAAAAAGAAGAAAGATTTCAATGATAAAAAAGGAAGTAAATAAAATATTTAAAACTTCATAAACATAAAAATTAGTTCAATTGGCGAACCGACAATTGAGGGAGCAGTTAAAGAATAGACCAAAAACCCTTCAGTAAAATCAAATGAAGAACAAATCATTTTAGAGTAGAAAATGATAATAAGAATAATATACTGTTGACAAAACTAAATAAATAAAAGAATATAAATCTTAAATAATCTGGGCAACGTCAAGACTTGCCAAATCACTATAAACAGTTATTTAATACATGGTAACAATAAAAGAAAAATACTACATCATTACCAAATGAGAAATCACATTAGACACAAAATAGAATGTTGACAAATTAATATAATAAATAGAATCAATACAAACATAATCATAATAACATAAAACAGTGAGCACATATATTAATAACTCAATATATACGTAAAAAAAAAAGGCTAGTAATATAATAGAGACAATTTTAAGAACAATTAGAAATAACATGGAAGGAGTAAGAAAGGAATACCTTAGAACAATAACGAAAGTGGATAGAGTTGATGCATTAGAAGTAAAAAAACTCCAAAACAGAGATAACGGAAAGGGGATAAAAACTGAGTATTGAAAATTGAAGGGAAGAAAAGAAACAAAGAAGATAAATGGTAAGTGTTTGACAACAAAAACAGAAACACAACAGAAGACAGTGATCATGAAAAAGAAAACAATATATTTATAGGGAAAAAATAAACTTTCGAGCATGTGGCGGTGGTAAATACTGGAAACAAAACTTAATACTACTGCTATTACGCTGCAAATAAAACTTAATAATTTTGTTAAAAACAGGTGTTACGCTGCATGATAACTACCGTGGAACAGAATGAAGAGCCTGCAGAGACTGAAAAAAATAAAAAATAAAACATTATAATTTGTTAAAAACAGGTGTTACGCTGCATGATAACTACTGTGGAACAGAACGAAAAACTTGCAGATAGTGAAAAAAAAATGTCATTAGAAAGAATTAGCCTACACTAAAAACAAATGTCTAAATATTCCCGACTAATATAACCTGCAAACAAATATCAAAATATGTAATAATTAGTAAAAACATGTGTTAAACAACGTAATAACCAACAAACGAATAAAAAATAACAAAAATAGAAAAAAAGGGAAAAAAAGAAAAATATAATATTTCGAAGATCTAATGTAGAAGTAACCGAAATAAATAAAAGAAAGGAAAAAATAAATGGAAAAAACAAAGTCAAAAAACAGAGAAAAAACTAACAAATAAAAGATCTAGAAATAAAAACATTAACAGATCTAAAAAAAGGGAAATAAAAAACTGAGGGAAAAAACGAAACCAAATCTACAAAAAATACTAACAGATCTAGAAAAACATAAGAAAATAATTAAAAAAACATAGAACAAAACGAAGCAAAAAGACGTACAGATATGAGAAAATGAAAAAGAAAAACCGAATAAAAAAAGGGAAAAAACGAAGCCAAATCTACAAAAACACTAACAGATTTGGAAAAATAAACGGGAAAAAATGAATAAAAAAATAAAAAAAAACAACGAAGCCAGATCTAAAAAAAGAAAAACGGAAAACAAAACTACAAAACAAAACAAACATAAAAAATGATTCCTAGAAACCTTACAAAAATAAAGAATGGGAGAAGGGGAAAAAAATGCACGGAACATGCAACAAAAAGCAAAATGAACCCCACGAAAACCTTAACCCATTTACGAAAAAAAACTGAAATTAGCCCCACGAAAAGCACAACGAAACCCAGGAACATAAAAAAAGCAAATAAAAAAAAACGAAGCCAGATCTAGAAAAAGAAAAACGAAAAATAAAACTACAAAACAAAACAAACATAAAAAATGATTCTCAAAAACCTTACGAAAAGAAAAAAAGGAATAAGGGGAAAAAAATGCACATAACGTGCAGAAAAAAAAACAAAATGAACCCCACCAAAACCTTAACCCATTTATGAAAGGAAAAAAAAAAAAAACTGAAATTAACCCCACAAAAAACGCAACAAAACCCAGAAACATAAAATGGGGAAAAAACTTAGAACGAAAACACAATAAAGCAGAGAAAACCATAAAGAAAACGAAGAGGATTTGTGGAGAGGAAACAAAGAATAAGAGCCTCGGTGAAAGAGAGATGCATGCACAAAAGCAAAAATGAAAGAAGCAAGAAGCTTCTCGAGAATACTAAACAAAGGCCACCGCAAAAAATGACGAAAATGGGCGGCAGAAAAACACAGAAATGACATTTTTCAGTAAACACGAATAGGACTGGGTCCCACCACCCACAACTCACCACTCTGCATTCTCTCTCACTCTCTGCAAGGAGCGGGTCCCACCACCCGGACAGCTCACCTGCATTCACT